TTCCTGCTGGAGGTCAAACGAGGAGTGTGCTATTGGTTAAATGTTTTACCAAGATAATTAGAGGTTAAATGGACAATTTTTAAAACAATATTTACATCCCTATTGTCAACATGCATTTCTGCCATCAAGCTACCTACTTCCAGTGGGGCATCTGGAAACCTTCCAATGAAGAAAGCCAGAGTAAGTGCTTCGGAGGACAGCTGGCTTCCTCCAAATGTTTCCTGAATTATGCCTCCTCTAGTGCCTTCAGGTATCAAATCATTACTGTACCTGGGAGGATTCTACCTCAAAATGGATAACGCAGACTGCCTTGATACCTGTTGGACAGGTTGTGAACAGATGGTGCTATAAGCACAATTTGTAAGACATCCAAAACCCCATAAAACTGATACAAATTTTATTTTCAAGACTAGCTGAAATTTGGGGAAATACTATGCTACTTGCCAAAGGAGCGATGGTGAATTGAGCTGGAGACACAGCAACTTAAATCAAGAATTTGGTCCTATGGGTTGTTTCTCTGCTGTCTGAAGCTGTCAAGGAACTAGCTGGAATAGTCTGTAGCTACAGCACATTGAGTAGTGCTCTCCTGTCAACATGTATGTATCTCAGCAAGTAAAAAGAATTTTAAAAACAATAAATAAACAAACTGTTCATGGTTTTCTCCTGTCTCTGATCTTAAAAGTTTTTAAAGGATTTGACACTTAATGGTATCTATTATATGAATTGTGTCAACAGCAGACCCTGCCCTTGTACTTTCTCATTCATGACTATGTCAAGTATGGGAAGTACAAATTTTGACACTGTAATGTGGTGGAGGGTTTGACACTTAAATTAGCAGACTTCTTGAAAATTAATAGGGAAGATGAATTGAGAGCCCATATCAAACACTTAAAATTTTTATTTTAAAGCATTTATTCTTCAAACCTAATAAAGAAACCTGTCTTTAAAAACAGCAATGCCCATGACAAGTTAAACATATCAACCATTTTTGTTACAGCTTTGTTAAGAATGTAATTAATGTTTTTTAAACAGTAAGTACAGTTCCCTCCCAACTCTCCCTTTTGTAACTGAAGATTGCATTCATTCAAGCTTTCAAGAAAGATACCTTAATAGTGACAATCCTGATGGCGCCATCATTGTTTCCAATTAGAATGTTAGAAGTTAGCTAGCAAAAGCTATATTTTCCACCTTCTATCAGAATAAAACAGTTTGCTCATGTTTTGCTGGCCTAAGGAATTTAAGATATATTCCACAAAGGAATCCACTCTCACATATTCCCAACACAGGTCCTTATGTTTTGGGGCATCAATCATCACCCTTTCCTGTATTTACTTGAACATCCACACTCTACAGTCATTTACCTGAATCATAAAGTCATTTTCTTCTTCCAATTCACAAAGGCATCGAACAATCTCAAAGTCACTGTCTTCTTCATCAAAATCCTCATCTGGATTAGTGGTTACATCAATGTCCCGACTGCAGTCATCTTCACTCCAAACCAAGCTATCTGTGGACGACTCACTCAAGGTCTCTTCGTCTGTTTCACAGAAGATAAATTGGATAAAAATCCATCACAGTGACTGCAAGAAGCCAAATGAGGTGGCTATTCTAAATTAATAATGTAAATTTGAGATGCCCAGTGCAAGCAATTCTAAAATAGATCAGTAAGTCTGTGTTTAAAGATTGGCCCTGTATTCTCCACAAGTGCCTCTCCAATTCCCTTCCCCTGCCCAATATGCTGCTCTGCTTTGTTTCCTGCCCTATCTTCCAACTGTGCTACTTGTCCTTTCCTGAGTCTGCTGAGTGCCACACATGTGCCATGCCTCTCATAGCATGTATGATGCAGGCTGGATACGACTGTTCTAAAAATAGGCTTAGAAACTACTGAATTTGTATATTACTTGTTAGTGAAGGCTCGTCTGTTAATAGATGTTTCAGAATTTCTTTTGCATTACCAAAACTTTTGACATTAAGATTTCAGTCCCTAACCTTTCTCTGAAAATATGCCAAAAAAAGAACAAAACACCCAAACAAAAATACCTCTTCTTCAAAAACAAGATTTTCTTTTCCCATGGAACAAGGAACAAGTCAGTACCATAATCTTCAAGATAACTGTTTCTGGAATAAGTTAATAATATGGAAACCACTGACAAATATGTGTTTTCAAGATTTAATTTTAATGAATTCAGGACAGAGTAAGGTTTTATTCTAAGCTAAATTCTGGATTATCTAGAAGGAACAAAAAAATCCATATGATTTGATATCAAAGATTTCCTTTTGTCACATGGGTGGCGTTAGACTCCATTCATGTTGCTTACTAACAGTTCAGCATCTCCTGAGGTGTAACTGTTTTTCATAGATTCATAGATGTTAGGGTCATAGAATCACAGAAGTAGGGTCGGAAGGGACCTTATAGATCTTCAAGTCCGACCCCCTGCCTGGGCAGGAGGGAAACTGGGCTCAAGTGACCCCAGCCAGGTAG